GAGGGCCACCTGTAACGTTAGTGCTTTTGTTCACCTCTGCCTCTGGCTCACTCCCCTCCTGGTGCTCATGCTCTCACCTGTAACGTTAGTGCTTTTGTTCACCTCTGCCTCTGGCTCACTCCCCTCCTGGTGCTCATGCTCTCACCTGTAACGTTAGTGCTTTTGTTCACCTCTGCCTCTGGCTCACTCTCCTCCTGGTGCTCATGCTCTCACCTGTAACGTTAGTGCTTTTGTTCACCTCTGCCTCTGGCTCACTCTCCTCCTGGTGCTCATGCTCTCTCTCTGACAGTAATGGTTCCCTTGCTTCTGACCATCCTGCATCATGGCCACTGTTTCACTACCACTTTCTGTGGCTGCATCTGACTCTTCCCCTCCTCCTCTCTCCCACTCTTCAGAAGCAGAAGTGTTCCCTGCCCACCCCCACTGTATGTATCAATTTCTCACTCTTCTGCTTTCCTTTTCATTGAGCTTGACATCTATTCAAGAACATTTTAATTAACGTCACATGCAGAACACATTCTACTGTCAAGTGCATGTCAGCTAATGATAGCGTTAGACTTGGGCTGTTCAAATCACGGTCCACAAGGGCCCGTCACTGCTGGTTTTCCAGCCTTCCTTTACCTGTCAGTCAGGTGTGAAGCCTCTGACCAATCAGAATCAGTAATTATTAAACTAACTACCTGGAAGAACTGAAAACAAGACCTGTATTTGGAATCAAGGTCCACATTTGAAGAGCCCTGATTTAGACCCTGTCCCCGTTGTCATGTTCGATATGCACGTCTCCTAAATGCCGTAAATGTAAATGTAGGCTTGGATAGTTAGCTAACTATGTTAACCTTTATGCTAGCTAATGTTACAGAACAGCAAAGACTTTTAAACAGTTATTTGTAAGTCAGGGGGTATGCAACAGGGCTGATATTTTGGCACTGGATTAAAAATACACAAGATTCTATAGTAGAAATCACTCACTGCATGGGCTCACTCCAAAAAGCCACTGTCTGTGAACACAGTTCATTGCTGCATCCACAAATGCAGGATGAAACTCTACCATGCAAAGAAGAAACCATATCTAAACATGACAGAAATGGTGCTGGCTTCTTTGAGCCCAAGCTCATTTAAGATGGACTGAGGCATAATGGAAAACTGTCCTATGGTCTGATGACTCAAAATTTCAGATTCTTCTTGGAAATCATGGACGCCGTGTCCTCCGGACTAAAGAGGAGAAGGAACATCCAGCTTGTCATGAGCGGACAGTTCAAAAGTCAGCATCTGTGATGGTATGGGGGAGGGGGGGGCATTAGAGTCTATGGCTTGGGTAATTTGCACATCTGGGAAGGTATCATGAATGCTGAATGCAAAAGCCATGGTTCATTGAGAGCTTAGAAACAATCAAAGGGTCTCACTGTTGAAAGGTATCAGTCAGGAGAAGGGTACAAAAAAAATCCATGGCATTAGATAAACCATGGAACACAGTGAAGACAGTCATCAAGAACTGGATGTCCCTCCAAAATTGATTAAAAGACAAGATGAAAGCTGCCAAGAGGAATTTCTGGCAAATACTGGTTGTGTTCTACATGTGACAGCAATCTCCCATATACTCCATATGTCTGGACTGAGGGGTAGAGTTGCAAGATGGAAGCCTTTTCTTACAAAGAGAAACATCCAGGCCCAGCTAAATTTAGTAAAAAATTACATCAAGTCTCCCAAAAGCACGTGTGAAAATGTGTTATGGTCGGATGAAACCAAGGTTGATCTTTTTGGCCACAATTCCAAAAGGTACGTTTGCCGCAAAAACAACACTATACATCACCAAAGAACATCATTCCCACGGTGAGGCACGGTGGGGGCAGCATCATGCTCTGGGGTTGTTTTCCTTCAGCTGGAACTGAGGCCTTAGTCAAGGTGACAAGGGAATTATGAACAGTTACATGTCAAATTTGGCCCAAAACCTTCAGGTATCTGCTAGAAAGCTGAAGATGAAGAGGAATTGCACCTTTCAGCACAACAATGACCCCAAGCATACAACCAAATCAGCAGAAGAATGGCTTCACCAGAAGAAAACTAAAGCTTTGGAACGGCCCAGTCAGAACCCAGAGCTGAATCCAGCTGAGAACCTGAGGGGTGACCTGAAGAGGGCTGTGTACAGGAGATGCCCTCGCAATCTGGCAGATCTGAAGCTTGTTTGTATGGAATAGTGGGCAAATATTGCTAGGTGAAGATGTGGTATGCTGGTACCCAAAAAGACTGAATGCTGTAATTCAATCAAAAGGTGCCTCAACAAAGTATTAATTTACGGGTGTGAACACTTATGCAACCAGCTTATTGTGCGTTTTTATTTTTTTTCCCGCTAACAGATTTTCTTGTTTTTTAATCGAATTGTACAAGTTATAGGTCACATTAAAGGTGGGAAAAGTTTTGAAATGATTTATCGTGGTCTCATTTTTTTTTATATCACAAAGCCTGGCATTTTAACAGGGGGATGTACACTCATATCCACTGTAGGTAAATTTTCATTTTCTGTTGTATTAAACAGCTTTGACAATAATTCCATAGCTTCATAACATATATACAAGTAATGCTAAAAACAATCTTTAATATTAGTATTTTAATGTCAATGGAGATAAAATGTGTTTCGGTACACAATTCTGACACATCACAGTATTTTCTCAAGTGACAATTTTGCAACTCAGGTTCACATGCCAGTTGATGTTACTTTCAATACTGTCTGTAATTTGTACATGCAGCTAATCATCACATATGGAAAATCTAAAAAGGAGAACATATCAAACAATTTCACAACAATTTGTCACGCAGAAAGGGCCAAAATATGGCATGCCAAGTATTCTTGCTGTATATAAATACACATAGACATTTCTTACTGGATTCCTATTAACAGGATGAGTGTGAGACTGGAGAATTAGCTTTGCAAACCACTGGGCTGTTTCTGACAGATCCAGGGCATTTTGTTCTGGCAAGGAAGGTCATTCCATCCCTTCTGAGTGTTCGGAAGATAGAATCTACTGGATTCCACGCATCTCTCAATCCCCTGGTGGTTGTCTGGCTGCCCAGGATTCCAGTATCTGGGGAAAATTTTTTTTTGTTTATATCATCTTGTTTTGAATTTAAAGCTAGTACAATATTAATTATACTATTAGTATGCTTTGGAGTAAGAACTAAGCAAGAAAATAGTGTAGCAGCAGTGCTGTATGAAGAACTGCACTCTAACAAAAAGACTACTGTATATTGTCTTTCTTTAACAGTCTTATCCTCTGTATCTCTCTCTAATGGTCCTGAATTCAATCTTACCCCCATGCGTCTTTCTGAAATGGTCCTGAATCCTGTCTTACCTCCATGTGTCTCTCTGTATTGGTCCTGAATCCTGTCTTACCCCCATGTGTCTT